AGCTGGTGGAGGGCTGGCGACGTCCCAAACCCAGTTTTACTAACACCCCATCATCCGTAGCGATCCAGACTGTACAAAGTAAATGCGTACCATCTCTGGAAAGTCAACTTTTTCTCTTTCTTTTTGCTTATCATTTCGAACTCAGTGATCTCTTCTAGTGGTTGCGGATGTGGAGGCATGTTTGGCAGGAGAAAACGATCGGCGATAATCCAGAGGAATCCCGTAGCACTGCGTCTCACTTGGTCTCGTTGATATTGATGTTTCATTTTTCGTTCCAATGCAATTGACGCGCCATTCACTTATTCAAGTAGAATTGTATAAATTTTTTCGATATTTTCTGTGATCCTACGTTTAGCCTCTCGTGAGACTTGTCACTTTGAGGGCAAAAAGCAAGTGCAGCATGCTTTCGAGTAAGCATGAGGCCCCTATCCGCAGAAGGGGCTAGGAGGGGAACACTCCATACCAGAACGTTCGCTCTAACGCTGCTGTCTTTTGATGGTCGTTTTTAGGCCCTGTTCTTACTATTGAACGGCGCAGTTTGCCGACGGGGGGGGGGCATTTTGCACTTTCGTTGCTTCACTAGTTCTGGTTTACAAGTCTCACTCTGGTGAAACCTGTGAACTCTTGTGAAGCTGGAGCAAGCTCGTCAAGCCATCATGGTAAAACCTGTCAACTCGAGAAGAGGCTGTCTAGATGGGTCGACACGTCGATGGGAAGTCGTTAAAGTGCAAAATGCCCCCCCCCGTCGCCAAACAGCGCCCTATTGGACTGGTAGTTCAGCGGTTCCAAGCGGTCATCTTCCAATGTAGCGTATTCTATAGGTGAGTCAGGCACAATCTCTTCTTTATTCTTTGTTTAAATATATACAAAATTAAGCATTTTAGTCTCTAAATTCTAGCGAAAGATCAATGAATTCTCAACAAACAGAACAAATCAACGACAAAAGAAGAAAGCTGGATACTTTACAGAAGTAGATGCTTAAGAATGTATGGCAACACGATGATAGATGACTGGTACAATATTTACACTGTACAACATCAATCAACACACAATACGACACTGGGACAGTTTACTTTAAGATTATCAGCCAGTAATATGCCTTAGTAATCGCCGAAATCTCCTCCTCCACCGAAATCACCACCGTCAAAACCGCCGCCGAAGTCGTCGCCTCCGATATCGCCACCGCCATAGTCATCTCCTCCGTAGTCGTAGCCGTCATTTCCTGAACATTTCCTGTTATAATGGCGCAGAAGCATTGCTAACTGGCAAGTTGCCAAGTCGGGTTTTTTCAACTTCTCTACCCAGTCCAGTTTCAAGTAGCATAAAGTGGCTCATAAGCACCCCGGAATCTCCTCCCCTGAAAAAGCCCATTCATTCGCACCCCACGCTTAGTTTTTTTGCTGGAATTCACAGCGAGATTACCCCTTGCAACACTGGTCGTCTGCGCTCCGAACTTAAGCTTTCGTTAGGAACAAAGGACACAGAGGCAAGGCCCAGTGATTATTCTCTCCCCACTCCCTTCTGACCACCTGTGGCGCCCACGCGGGCGTTAATAGCCTAAGGTAGGCCCGTTCAAGGGACTTCTTGTGGCGGAACTGGGATTAGCGTCTCCAAACTTTTCACGGCACTATTTACCCTTTACTGCCCCAGTCATCCGAAATCAGGCCAGTTCCTGACCGACTTTTTTCTCCGTGGGCAGATTTTGCTCAAATGTTGTCTCCTGGGGTAGTTTGACCTCCAGAATACGAATATCACATTCGCTCAGCCCGAAACTTCCTGGCGCCCGCGCCACAGGCGCCAATGATTTGGGGTATTTTGGCGCCGGTGCCCGTGGTGCGGGCGTTGAGCGGATGTGATATTCGTGTTCAGGGGGTCAAACTACCCTCAGAGCAAGTTTTACGAATTTGGTGATTTCGAGTATTTTGGCGCCGGCGCCCGTGGCGCGGGCGCCAGGGGTTTCGGGTCAAGCGGATGCGATATTCGTGTTCAGCGGGTCGAACTACCCCTGGAGCCAAGTTTTCAGCAAATTCTGCCCACGGAGAAAAAAGTCGGTCAGGAACTGGCCTGATTTCGGATGGCTGGGGCAGTAAAGGGTAAATAGTGCCTTAATTATAGTACTCTGAATTGGTTCACACAGCTTGTTCCCCTCTGCGCTCATGCAAGTCTTGGCCATCCTTGCGGAACCTCTAGTTTGGCTCAAAAAGTCTTGAAGCCCCGTTGAAGGTTATTAGCGTTTGCCCCCCCCCCCAACCGTAGCGTCCGAAAGCGTGTTATGAGCACACATCGAATGAAATACTTTAAATAAAAATACGGATTGAATTCGGGTTACCTGTGTCACCACCGTATCCGTAGTCGTCTGCATTAGTGTAGTCTTGGTTGGTGTCGTTCTGAAAACATTACATGAAACTGCATCAAAGTATAAAAAAAAAACACAATAAGGGTGGAATACAGATTAGGATGTGGAGCATATAGCCGTGAATCGGGTTAGCGCAGATCTGGTTTTATGCAGTGTTTGTTCATCAATTAATCTCACAGAGAATGTTTCAATGGAGTTTCCTCTAATCGTATCTTTTAGACTCTGCTTGCTTACCTACTTGATTACTGGGCTCTGTTCAGAATCCTTCCCTTTACTGAACCATCCTCATCAAGTTAAAGGCAAAGCCCGCGACCACAGATTGTGGGTAACGGAACCCACATAGGAACGAAAAAGGGCTAGGTATCTGATTAGCGGAGAAAAGCAGCAGAAAAACAGCCGAAAATGCCCTAAATAGGATTCCATATCGACCCAACTTGTACATGCAATGAAGAAAACGCATGTTTGTACGAATTTCCACTCGTCGTTATCATAAAGATATCAGCTCTTTTATCGTATCACCATTCGGAATGGAGAGAGATAGCATAGTGGCTACTAGCTAGTAGCTAGCAGCCGGTGGGGGTCGGCATGGGCCTAAGGGGCGCCCATGGGCCTAATTGGTTAGCTTAAAGCGGAATTCTTGCCGATTTTCACTTTCTAAAGGTAGCGCAGCCTCCGCAATCTCCTTCCGGATCGTCTGACACATTTGAAAGGTCATAGCCTTATTTTATCGCGGAAAGTGCCTTTAAGAATCCAAATGAGCCCTGGGGTCGGCTCGAATGCGATCATGGCCCCAAGGAGCACCGATCGTATTAACAAAGAAAACCTCGCTCGCTCGCTTCAAAGAGGGCTATCACAAAGAGCTATATCGTTTTTTGAAAACATTTTATCTCCGCTCTGGCCCATTCGCGGTCGGTCACCGCTGCTCCGCTATTGCGCGAAATAGGTAAGGTTGGACTACCTGATAGATGACCCATCTAGCGGTAACTAGGCAGTAGAACCCGATGGTCTTGGAAGCCTGATCCCCGATGGTAGTCTGCTTCGCCTGCCAGGGTCCGCCCGGCAGTCTTGAGCACCGGGGGTTTGAACGCATCACCGTCGATACGGATCGCAGATACAAGAGCGGGACGCAGTTCAGCGACGGGGGGGTGGGCATTTTGCACTTTGCTACTAACCAGTGAGCTATTTCATGAGCTCACAAGGGTTGACAGGTTTTATCATGGTAGCTCGACGAGCCTACTTTAAAGACACATGGTACGCTCAAACACATTGAGGGTGTATGAGACTAACAGCCCCCCAGCTGTCGATGTGTCGTGGTTTCCCCGCCCGAAACTGCACGGGGGTCCGAGTACGGGACCGTGGGAAAGGCTTATTCCTTGCTACGCCGCCCGAAATGCAACTTGCGCGCGGCGAAATGCAACTTGCGCGCGGTGCATTTTGGGCGGTGTAGCAAGGAATAAGCCTTTCCCACGGTCCCGTACTAGGACCCCGTGCAGTTTCGGGCGGGGAAACCACGACACATCGACAGCTGGGGGGCTGTTAGTCTCATACACCCTCAATGTGTTTGAGCGTACCATGTGTCTTTAAGCAACAAAGAGTTCACAGGCTTAACCAGAGTGGAACCTAAAAACCGAGCTAAGCTAGTGCAGCAGTGGAAAGTGCCATAAATGGGGGCTCGGCCTGCTGTCCGGCCGAACAGTCGCGCAGCGCCGAACAGCGCCCAGGAGCGCTTCACCGATTTTCAACACGGGTGACACTTTAATCATAACCTAGTCAGCTGTGGTTCGTAGGTAAATAGATAGGAACACAAATCCCACTGCAACTAATAAGGCGCTAATATCTTTGAGGGGGTATAAATGTGATAATTATACAATCTTGTCAACACTAAGACTTGTTACCACGTGACAAGCACCCTGTAAACTCCTGTCAAATTTGTCAGAATGACAGGTCAAGATTTTGAAAAATGGAGAAATGGCGTTTAAATGATTAGCACCATTTCGCCAGGGTGTGCGACAAGAGAATCGTAATTTACCGCGCTGGTGGGCGCGTGCGACGTCGCGCCCGCAAATGACGATGGTTCCAGGTAGTAGATGGCGAACAGGCAATTCAGAACCGAAAATAGTCATGAATGTCTACGATGACGGGGTCTACATGAAGTCCGGTGCTCCAATCGACAGGTTAACACGAGTTAAGAAAACGCCGCGCCATCGCCGCGCGCGGCGGAGCGGCAAATTACGATTCTCTTGCCCGTCTCCCATTTCGCCAAGCTTGACACGAATTTACTGGAGACTTGAAAAGAATTTGCACGAGTTTTAAAGTGAAACAGGAACTGCTGCTCCTTTAAAATTGCTCGTCTAAGCAGGAATAGGGTTGAATATCATGAAAGACTTTATCAACAATGGGGAAAATGTTATCTCAGCTTAAGCCCAAGCGATGCAATAAATCCAGCAAGAACATCAAGCCAGAGGCTAAAATGCATTTACAGACCACCTTTCGCACTGACAACAGAAGCAAAAGAACTCATAATCTATTCTACTTCGTGAAATTTAGCATGAAGGTACGTAATCGCTACATCCTACTCATTGTATAGATTTTGAATAACTCAAAGGCCCAAACTCAGAAATCTTTGACCGGAGGAAAACCCAAGCGGTTCAATTTTTGAACCAGGTTTTGGACCCGAACGGCCTGCGATCTCGTGAACTGGCACCCATATTATAGCAGATTCCGCTGTTAGGATGCTCAGGTTACAAAGAGAGTGCAGGATGAAAGGCAGAGGTGCAAGAAAGGACCGTTGATAAGTAAGGACAGAGCGGGTTAGGAAAGGAGGACGTTACTCAAAAGCTATGGGCACGATTGCTGGGGACGGGCGGTTGCCGCCGGACTCATTGGTGGGGGGTTAGCAGGGTGTGGCCGAAGCGCCCTCTCGAGCCCTTCCACCAATGACACTGGCACCAACCGCCCGCCTCCAGCAATCGAGCCCACTGCCTTCAAATGTGGATCGTTGGTTTGTTCGGCTTAAGGGGCATTTCTGTTGAATTACACGACTTAATCTACACGTTTCACCTTGGACCTGTAGTCTCTTGCCAAGGGTAAAGAAGCTCGTGCTATCGCACAGCTTTACAAGAGCTTACAGGTCTCTACAAGAGGTATCGGCAATGGTCGCTGGGAATCAGCAGAATGCCCCCACCAAGCCGAACTGTGTCTAAATTGCCGACAGCATGCACTAAAGCAATCCCACAACATGACAGCAATCTCAGGACACCGTAAACTGTACCTGGTCAGCATCATCTACGACGTCTTCTTCAGCTGGGTAATCATCGTTGGCCACGTCCTCCTAATCATACAAATACAATAGGGGATTTTATGGCAATTCGGAGGAATCAGAGGGGAAAGTTCTCAGGTTCACATAAGCCACGCCACTTCTACCATAGGGGTTCCACCAACGTACCTGATTATCGTCAGCGTCCTCTACGACGTCGTCTTGGGACGGGTAATCATTATCAACGGCGTCATCCTAATTATAGGGTTATAAGCTGGGAATGTTAACATAAATAAAAGGAGTAGCCTAATCTAGCCACTTCTAAAGCAACATAGAAGGGGAAGCGCTAAGTGGTTTACCTGATTGCCATCGGTATCATCTACGACGTCATCTTCAACCGGGTTGTCACTATCGACCGTGTTATCCTAATTACATAGCTGTCAGTGGTTATACTTCTAGAGGGTAGGTAAAAATCCTGCCCTTCTCATATTACTGCCCCTCTAAAACCAGACTCGACCTTTCCCGAAAACTGTTCAAGGCCGCGTTCATGCCAGAATATGCTTTCTATGGGCTGAATACTACTCCTGGCCGAGTTTGGAGAATTCAAATGTGATTTAGGCCAGCAACAAGCGCTTTCGTACCAAACAGATGGGGCATCTGCGTACAGCAGGTCAAAAATCACAGGCAGTTTTTTAGCGGGACCCTATCCCAATAAAGACCTATCTAGAACTATGAAAAGTCCGGCATTAAAGTAGGAATTGTGCTGAAAATCTTAGTTGCAGACGTTACAATCAGTCCACGCGGTTTCAAGAAGCATGGTATACGCCCACACGCGGCGTTTCCAGCATTGGTTGCTTCCTCCTCAAATCGATCACAACTGGACGAGCAAAGGCAACCGGAGGTTCACACCGCCCCTTCTGACTCCGCCCCGATTGACTGCAACTTTATCAACGGAATAAGCCTAGCGCTTGCAGTTTCGCAGTTCCATAAGAAGATTGCCTCGTTGTGGATGCTTTCAAATTCCAACTACCACTTTTCATTTACCACGTTTACCAAGCATTACTATGGATCAACTGAAGGGACTGTGGAAGAACGCTGGGAAAACCCAAACAGGAATGCTTGGACAAAAACATATTTTAAAAGGATGACAGCCAAAGTTCTCAGTTCCTCGCTAGCTTGGAAATGGATTAGACGGGGCAGGGGTTTCGTGAAATATTCTTGTCACCTTACCTGGTTATCGGTGACATCTTCTATAGCAGGCTGTGATTGACCGGCGTCACCGATGGCTCCTGATGCACTTGGATCTGGAGTGTTGTAGTAGTTGTTCGTAATATTGGTGTCATTGTCCTGTAATGGATGAATCTTATTGCCAGTACTGCCTGAACAGAATAGCCCTGGCCATAACCAGCACGCTCTCAAACTGAGGGACCTAGATTTCCTTGAACGGTTTGGAAAGAGTTCAGACTAAGAAAATGTGATCTCGTTGGCAGGGGATGCTGAGGAGTGTCACGGAAAGGGGTTACTTTTGCGCTGCGCCAGCCCGTTCTCCTTCGATTGCTGGAGAGGGAAAAGCGACAACAATTGGTGGAAAACGTATGGCGCCGCGCCAAACGCAGCCTCTCCTTGCCTGCTCCACCATCTGCAGCGAACAAGACTGTATGTAGGTCGCTTTCTACGGTGGTACCACACCTTTACTTTGAAGGCATAGCTCACTCTGATCATAATGGAGGAGACACCCAACCATTATATCCACGTCGTCCGCTCCAGAAGAAGGGAGAGGAAGCACTAAAATCAATGGTCGAGAGCCTCCGCCCATACGATCACCGGGTAGCAACAAAACCCTCTTGATTTCTACTGCTCACATTAAGAAGTATCCAAATTAGTTTCATTTTACAATAGCAGTACTCACCGAATAATAGCCTCCACCCATTCCAAGTCCACCCATTCCAAGGCCTCCACCGTATGATGGTATCATCGAGTGACCACCCCACATTGATCCCATGCCATAGCTCATCAACGATCCCATTAGCATGCCGCTGCCAAATCCAAGGGCGGCTCCACCGAAGTCCTGCACCAATACCGCTGCTG